GATCTCATTTAATTTTATTGATTATTTCTATATACTGAATATGTTTTTAGTCGTTTTCAGTAGTGTGTTGAAGTATAGTAATGTTACAACATAGTTGAGCTTGTTTATTTTGATCTACTTTATTTTTATATATTTTAAATTGTATACATGTTTTTTATTCATCTCTTTTTTTATTTTTTATTTTTTTTTTAATCTGTTTTCCGTTGAGTTGTATTTAAAATTGAAGAAAGTCCAGTTTCTAAAAGATTCTTAAGTTCAATAAATGCTGGTGTTTCCAAAGTCAGTGAATAACCGTGTTAAATAATCATGATCTCAATAGTGATCAAAATAATCCTGATTATGATTTCTGCCATAATCCAGCAGCCCTAGCTCAGACTGTTCTAGGTCTTTTATCAGGTTCTGAATTTACAAGGTAATATTATGTTGATCTTCGTTTACATGTCAATACACCTGTACACCACCCAGCCCTGATCAGTACCGGATGACACACTTATTCTAACCCGGAAACTGAAGAAATTATAGAAGCATTAGTGGAAATAAAACCAAAGACTCAGGAAACAGAAACAGATTTAAAACTATGAAAACTAAACAACAGGCCACAGCACAAGAGCGTTAAATGTGAAAATGAATGAGAGGGGCACAGAGTTGGACAAAATGTCTGAGTCACTGAGGTAATACTTAAAACAAAAGACAAACCGGCTGGTCAGGCTGACGCTGATACGACTGTACAGACTGTAAACCAGCTGGAAGAGGACCCCTCAGGGCACGAATGAGTCCTGACGGAGCACAAATATTCAAACGCCTCCGAGTCTCCAGCGCCTCACTGCAGCCAACATTTCATCATACACATAATACATCCGTACAATACACCCGTATAATATACCCGTACAATACACACTTATAATACACCCATACAATACACACTTATAATACACCCGTAGAGGAACGGAAAACATGCTCACAGGCAGGAGGCTGTTCATAACCACAAACAAATCATCAATATATGTAATCAATGGAAAATAAACTCGTTAGTTTCTCTTTGACAGGTTTAACTTTTATCACATCAACATAAACTTCAAACAGCTGCAGGGTAAACTGGTTAGTTAGCTCACGTTTCCTCCCTTCACCAACAACTCTATGGAGTTCACTCTGTCTCCAACTGACCTGCAGAGTCTCAGGTTAAAACTAACTCTGTCTCAGTTATATCCAGCCTGAAACTTCTCCAGTCTAAAGGCTCCGTTAGACCACTCATGAACTCCATTTTTAAACTCTTTGTTTTCTTCACAAAACCACACACCTATTAGTACATGACTCTCACACTTGATGACTGAACAGGAACCACTCCTTAATTCGGTTTTCATGCAACACACGAAGATCAATTATTTTGTATAAACGTTTTTATAAGCGGCTTGCTGCAACAACAAAAAAACTCCAGTGTGAAACTGCACCGTTTACAAGTTGTTTCCGCTCTCTGTAAGTCGAACTTTATAACGAACTCCAAATGAAAAGGCATTATTTTACAGGTCTCATCCATGTCCACAAAATACACCCATTGGAACACACATCTTGGACTCTGCATGGATCAGGTGGGTCTGTTCTTAAATTCCGCACATATTTACCACACGAAGCTGCATCAACTTTAATTAAATCTTCAGTTTAACAGGAGGCTGGTTTTGTTGCATAAAAGTCAAGTTAGGAGATATTCAGTTTGAATTCCACCGTTTTACAACATTTGAGCAACAGTTAGCCCGGTCACTATCGAGCCCGTAAAAACCAAACTTTATATAAATAATGATCATTTTAAGGATAATAAAACAATGGACATGCTGGAACAAAACTCTTCGACCTTAAATCAATTATTATTCTTCAATTCCGCATCGATGTAACACTCAAAGCTTCAACAAATTTAACAAAATCTAAACTTTCACAAGTGAGAAACAGTCCGGTAAAACCACCGCAGTGGGCGTGAGAACATCGAACAGAACGACTTGAAGTTAAAGTTCTTTGAGAATCTCCGTACAACTTGAAACTAGCTTTAATATCATTTTATACGCTACGGAGACGTGTTTTGGCAGGTAAAGGGGCTGCATTAAACTGCCAGGTTGTGTTAATGGAGTTTGGTGTGGAGTTGTGTCCGCAGAGAATGGCCCGTCCTGAGGCTAACACTACAGCTAACTCTGCTAGCTTAGCTTCCTGCTCCTGCCACAAACACAACTTTAGGGGCAACTGAGCAGCAGGAGCCGCCGCTGCTCTCTAAATAAAACATTTTCCCGCCACATATTTATCTTACTGCCCTGAAGTGTGAGTGAACCAGCCAGAAACTACATTTAACTGAGGTGTGAGGTAAGTCGATGGGAGAACTCACCCGTCCATTGCACAACACGGAACTGCGGAGCAACAGGTTCCAGCCAGCGGCCAGCAGGACATCCAGCCACCGCCGTTATAAACCTACAAAATGGCGTCCGGCGGGAGGAGATCCCTGATTGGACATTGGCAAAATTTGTAGGCGTTCCAGACGGGAGCTGCGTTGTCATTGGCTGTTTGGACAGCGAGCGCAACAACAAAGGCCCGAGATTCCAGCGATCAAAGATTGTCTATGGAGAAGATCCACGATTCGGTAGAGAAAAACGGACACGCGGTTCACTCAGCGTCAGTGGGCGTTGTCCCGAAAAAACATCAACCGATTAATGTGTCTGCAAGGCCGGACTAACAGCCCAAACACACACCCCCGGGACCCTAAAGCCCCAGGTTTACCCCATAGAAGTTCCGTTTGCATTATTTAAATTAATCACAGATTTGTAAGAAATTAGCATCACTGAACTACAACATACACGACCACAACCCACACGAGACAACGCCCCTGGGCACAGACAGTAAAAGGCCCCCACCCCTCCTTTCTTCTCTTGTGTCTCTTTGCAGTGGTTTGACTTTCCAACAGGAAACATTAGGAGACCTCTCAGGTCCCTAGACCTGTACCTGAAGTCCAGTTCAGTAATCCATCCGGTCCTCCGTCCTCCACCTTGGCCCTCTTGTAGAGGGACTCTGTGTCAAATCTAGTTTTATTGTTTTAGTTTCTATTGAACTCCATTGTTGTAATTTTTTTATGAGATTTTAATGAAATTGTTTTGACATTTTTCATAAACATGTCATAAACAGACAGAAAACCTCTGTTTTACTCCATCACAGGAGAAGTGTGAGGCTGCACCCAGAAATTATTTTCATCATCAATCACCTGACAGGTTGTTTTCTTTAATGATCAATCGATCGTTCAGTTGATGAAACATCAGAAAATAGTGAGAAATGTTCATTATTCTCTGAAGCCTGATTTTCATATTTAATAACCATCTCTTAAATAAACTAAGATGTTGAGTTTCATCAGAGAAAACTGAGAAACCCACAAATTGTCATACATCAGAAGCTGAAACCACAGAATTTGTCTTAAACTATCAATTATCAAAACTGTTGCTTATTGATTTTCTCTGAAATAATTGATTAATCAGCTGATCATGTTCACTCTTGAATACTGGCTGTTTTCTGGGGAAATAATGTAACTGTAGTTGGGATCAGTTGGGGCCAAACAGCAAATGTTTTGCCCCGGGCCCCTGAGGAGGTGAATAAGTCCAAACATGTCTGTGTCATATGAGCAGACCTAGATCTGGAAGGGCATGTTAATCTAGCACCTCTGTAACAATCATTTTTCATATGAGACAAACACAGAGACAAACCAGCAACTAGTTTCTGTTTGCCAGTTTCTGGTTTCTGGTTGCTGGTTGCCAGTTACTGGTTGGTGGTTTGTGTCTCTGCTGGCTCAGTGTCGTGTAACATGCTGATAAATAATTCCTCCATATGTTGCTTTTCAAGAAATGACTGTGTGTTGGAAGATGATCCAGCTGCTCACACATGAATAATTCAACACACAAACAAAAGTTCTCCTATTACAGTTTCTCAGGCTGCTGATTGGTTGATTTTCACCTGAAGATTTTCCCAGTGTAAAAACTTTAGATCTGTTGGATGGTTGAATTCTGAATCAGTTCAGTTCACGTCTTGTGACCTTTCACATCAGAGAAGGTGAATGTGACGGGAGAAGAAGTAGAAAAAAACAGCTGAGAAATGTGGTGATGAACATAGGCAGAATCATAAGAACAGTTCCACCTGACATCAGTAATAACGCAATAAAAGTAAAAGGCTAATTTGATGAATATCATTGTCCAATCACATCACACAGTGACTCATGAAAATATGAACCAAAGGTACATTTTTATTTTTCTATCAGCAAACATATTTTATATCCAGGATTTTAGATGATCTATCAATTCATTACTTTACAGTAACTTATTGCACAGTAACATCTACATTTAATGCAGCACTTTGAACAAGAATTTTTCAGATTTAAAAACAACACACACACATCTTTGTGTCTATAGGTTTTTACAAACCAGCAGATGTCACTGAGCTGCTCAAAGATACTCAAAGCTCCAAATCTTCCAGTAATCACACTCTACAATGTAATTCTGTCTACTTTACTTGTTTATTTGTGATGTGAAGTGCTTTATTTTTTATTTATCTGCTTGAAGATTCACTGTCACTGAGTCTTGGTTCAGTAAAGACAAAGATATAACTATGAATCACTGTAGAATTCACTGGGTAAAATATAACCTGCTGATTGACGCTGTAAGTGGAAATGAAAACAACCTGGAAGAGGAGAAACTTCGGTCTGCTCCTTTAAACAGGCCGCGTCCTCTCTCACCTGTGGGGGCACTGTCGAGCTTTGGTCCATTTACTCTGCAGCCATCAACACAAGAGGAAGAAAGAACGCGAAAGGGAGCGGAGCTTCCTATTTGTCAGCGTCTCAGAGACGGAGCTTCCTATTGGCTAGTGGAGTTGCCCCGCCAGTGGAGAGTGGAAACAGCGCCATAATCAAACCGCGGATTGTTTCATGTCAGATTTATCAAATTAACAAATTAAATTCGATAAACGAGATTAAAGTAAAATCTCAGGCAGTTTTTGACGTCACTAAACGTCAGTTAGTCTCCGGAAGATCGAGTTTCGTCCCGTTTTTGAGGCTAACGAAGCTAACAGACGCAGCTAATGCGGCTCCAACAGGGAGCTAACGAGGCTAGCCAACTTCAGCTGGTGTTCTCAGGTAAAGTCACCAACCGACCACCGCTGCTCTCTGTCGGACACAGCGGGGATGAGCTGCCCGGTGAAACTCCAGGCTCTGCCGTCCGGTGTGTTTGAAGAGGTGTTCACCCCGGAGAATGTGAGAGGACGGTGAGTCTGAGTCTCTCTGATGTTCATGTTCACAAAATACAGTCCTTTAAAAAAAACCTTTAGCTCCCGGTTCTTTTTTAAACGAATCTTTTAGTGAGTTTTACACACGCTCACATACATATATCTATACACACACCTGCATGTACTGCAGACATGTGTTCATGTTGTACATACAGTATACAATGAGTGGTCTGTTTATAAAGAACAGCAGTTAAACCCGGGCCAGTCTGATTCATCAGTCCTGTAATAATCCTCCTTCATCACGGTTCTAATGTTCAGTCTGTGTTGATTCACCTGTGGGATGATGTTGGGGGCTGTGGTTTGTGCTGCTGTTGAACTGTGATGCATTATACAGAGGTGTGTCTGTTGTTTCAATTAATCAATCAATCAATCAATCAATCAATCAATCAGACTTTGTTTGTATATAAATTGCCTAATAATAAATAAAAACAATTAAAAAGAAAAGAAAATAACGGACTGAGGGAACACTGAAGACTGGTAAGCTACGATAACAATAGAGTGATAAAAATAAAATGATAAAATACTAAAACAAAGGAGATGTATTAAAGTGAGTAAAACAAGAAATAAAAGGTAGGATATTAAAAATGAAATAAAATGAGACTAAATAGACACATAATGTGTGTCAGTGTGTTTGATGCTGTAGCTGCTCATTGAGGGTCTGAGCTGTGTGACAGTGAAGAAGATGACCTTTAACCTTTCTGACTTTAAATGTCAGTATGTAATGATGTTAATATAAATAATGATTTTATGAGCGCTGATTAGCATGTGGTGTTTATTAGATTTAATCACTGATCCTGGTTCACTGTCTGACAACAGAGTCGATGACATGTAAACAACAACGTGTTGAGTTCAGCTGCATGAAACAATTATTTTAATCAACACAAGAAGATTTAATTTTTATCTCTTTATAAGGAATATCTGTCCACGTTGACCCAAACACTGGGATTCAAATATATTTAGGATTTATTATTAGGATTAATTATTTCTGACACTTCGCAGATCAAATTATTGAGTTGATCAATAAAATGATGTCATCTGTCAGATATTGAGAACAAAGTAAACATCTCTTCTGTTGCTCTTCCACAGAAACTCTCTCACTCCACTGAGTTTCCCCAAATCCAGATCATCCCTGTGGGACAGCAGCCCCGCTGGAGAGAAGCTCCACCTCCAGCTCTGCTCACACAGGTAAACACACACATGCAGACCAGTGAGGCAGAGTTAGACTGGTTCATACAACGTGTTGTCTGACTGTGTGTGTGTGTGTGTGTGTGTGTGTGCGTGCGTGTGTGTGTGTGCAGGAAGCCTCGGGTGGTGCTGTTAGAGAAAGCTCTGCGTCTGGCTCAGCGCCATGTCCGTCACAGCAACAAGCCCCGCCTCCACTGTTTCTTCCTGGGATCAGTGTCGGTGGACTCAGGTAAGAGCTCACCTGCAGCCCATCCTGAGCTCTGATCTGTTATATGTAATCTTTCCTTGATGCTGACTTCACTCATTGACTCCTGGTCTCTGTGGTCTAGATGAGGAGGGGCTCACTGTCACTCTGGACCGATTCGATCCAGGTCGGGACCAGACCGGATCCTTGGGCAGAGTTCCCTCTGCTCTGCTGCCTGGAGACATCCTGGTTCCCTGTTTGTTCTCCACTCACACTGAGACAACACCTGACGCTGTTGTCCAATCAGAGGCTGAGCTCCATCACTGCTTCAAGGTAACAGGAAGTCACAGTATCAGGAATCTCGTGATCTGAACCAACACCAATCAAAGTCCACAATTCTTAATAACAAATTCAACACCACAATAAAAACCAACAGACACACACACACACGCACACACGCACACACACACACACACACACTGTACTAACATTTTTTCCAGGTTTAGCCTCCTCAGTGGATTTATGTTTGTGTCACGTGACTCAGACTTAATTTGGCTCTTGATCAGTTCAGTGATGATCAATAGAATATTTACAACAAGCAGAGTCAGACCTGCAGTTAAAATGATGATGATAATAATAATAACGGGAAAACTGTCTAATTCTCCTGGAGTAATAACGACTTTATTTTTTCAGTAGCTCTGCCTCCTTATGTCCAACCCCCTCTGTTGTCATGGCAACATCTCATTTATGTCACCATCAGCTGATTTTTCTCAGCTTTTCCAAACATCCTGTTGTTTTAAATTATGTTGTTTCATTGTAACAGTTTTTTTTATTGATCAGTCAGATTATTATTATTTTCTCTATAAAATTTAAACTTTTATTATTATTATTATTATTATTATTATTATTATTATTATTCGTCTTCATGTCCGACCAACAAAACTAAGATTCAGTTTAGTGTCACATGACAAAGAATCAACGCCTCAATAATCAAAGTAGCTGCCAATTAATTCTATATATCGATTGATGATTAAGTAATGAATTTCCCCCAGGGGATAATAAAGTATCTATCTATCTAGTCATCTATCTATGATCATGTTGCCTGTTGATTGAAAATATCTGTAAAATCAGCTGTTTGTGTTGCTTTAAACCTGACCTGTCTGTCTGTGTCTCAGGTGCTGCAGCAGTTTGTGAGCAGCAGGCAGACTCTGGATCTGTCTCAGCTGTTAAAGGTCAGAGGTCGTGTGGTCTGCTCTCCGCAGTCTGACGCCACCGTGTTCGGTCTCAGCTGGGTGGCCGTCTGTCCGTCTGTCGGCGTGGACGTCCAGCCGGTCCGAGCCGTTCCCGTCATCCCCACCGCTCTGCTGAGGACTCTGACCAGCGTCAGCCGGCCGCTGCAGCACGCCGCCAACCGACAGAGAGGGTGAGGTCACGTCATCTTCGCCACGACAAGCCACGCTTCTTCCTCTGCTGTTTTTATTGTAGCTGCTGTGTTTGTGTTTGCAGGTTTCTGACCATGGATCAGACCAGGAAACTGCTCCTGCTGCTGGAGTCTGATCCTAAAGCCTCTAACCTGCCGCTGGTCGGACTGTGAGTCATTCAGCTGATCTATGTCGCCGTAGAGACGATCAATGTCTGTTGTAAAAATGTCTTGTCTAAAAGAACTCCATCATCAGACTCCTCCATGTTTTCTCAGCAGTGTTTCTCATTAACCATCCTCCCTCTGTGACAGATGGCTGAGTGGAGTCACACACATCTACAACCCTCAGGTGTTGGCCTGGTGTCTGAGGTTCCTGTTTAGCTCCGCCCTCCAGGACAGGTGAGTGACAGGCCGTCTGCAGAGACCAGTGTCCTCCAGTCTGTGTCTGTGTCTCACTGAGTCTCTGTGGTTTCAGAGTTCTGTCAGAGAGTGGGTGCTTCCTCCTCGTCCTCTTCGCCTCCACTCACCGAGCTCCTCAGTTCTTCCAGTGCCGAGCACTGGGACTGGGACCGGGACCAGCACTACAGCTGGACTGTGACCTGCTGACCGCCTTCCAGTCTGTCACACTCTACCAGGTAACAACACACCTGAGTTTGTTAGTGCTGTATCGATGAAGGAGCTGAGGATGATGATGAGCCGTGTGGTCTCAGGTGGCGTCGGTGGACGGTCAGACTCTGCAGTGTGAGCTGGGCTCAGAAGATCGCAGCAGACAGACGGAGGTCTTCAGAGAGGCCCAGAGATCCTTCAGCAGGTACCAGACCCACATCTACTGAGATCCTCTTAAGATTAAAAACATATTACGATGAATCAGTGATGAAGCTGTGTCACCATCATCATCATCATCATCATCATCATCATCATCATCAGATCAGATGTGTCTGAGGAGTTTACAGATGATCAGACCTGATGGAGTCTCATGTGTCCTCTCTGTCCTCAGCGCCCCCCCACCAGCTGCCGGTGTCAGTGATCAGGACTCTGGAGTCGAAGATGAAGACCTTTCTCCACGACCTTCCCCGAGTCCTCACCCCCCAGCTCAGCAGGTCAGTCAGAGATCAGAGGTCAAAGGTGCTGACACTGTACGACAGTGGTTCAGTCATATTTTTCCCTGCATTTTTAATTTTTACATCTGTGCAGTAAAACAATGTGCTCATCTTCATGTAACCTGATCAGCTGATCATTCATCACTGTGTGGACTCGTCAGGTCTGTGTTGGGTCCATGTGGGCTCGTCAGGTCTGTGTGGACTCATCAGGTCTGACACGTCCCTGTTTGCTGCTGTTTGTTGTTCCAGACTCGGAGAGTCCAGCCGTCTGTTCCTGAACTCTCTCTGCTGATTGACAGCAGCTTTACCTCCAATCACAACGCTTGGCAGGACCCTGGCTCCACCCACAGACCTCCTCCACCTCCTGCTGCTGACAGGAAGTCTGGTCCTCCAGCAGGAATCTCTTCCTCAGCTCCCAGACCCGTTCCTCCTCACCTCCACAGCACCCCCAACTCCAACCTGCAGCAGCCGTGCTCCTGCTGCTCCCCCAACACCTACACCTGCACCTCCATCTTCTCCTCCCCTCGACACCTTCCTGCTCTTCCACAGGCTAACCTTCACCCTGCTCCTCCTCCTCCTTTACACCACCACACTCCTCCTCCCTCCACTCATCTCTCTGCTCCTCCTCCTTCCCTTCACCACACTCCTCCTCCCTGCCCCTGCAGCCACCCTCCTCCTCCGCTTGTCCCACAGTGTGGTGACTCCCCCTCTCCCCACCCCTCCCATCCAGCAGACCCTGGCTCCCCCCCCTGGCTCCCCCCTCCCTCCTGTGTGAATCAGCAGGGCGGAGTTGCACCATCTGACACCTACCAGCTCCTCCTCCATCAGGACCGACAGCTCCGCCTCCTGCAGGCTCAGGTGAGAAACGCTTCCTGTTTACAGACCATAAATTTGCATTTCTAAAGTTCCATCGATTAGTCAATTAATCAATCAGCTGATCAAAAGAAATCAATCATCGCTGCTGGTTTTAGTCTTTATGACAGTGGAGGAAATAAAAGCAGAGCAACTTCCTGTTCCTCATTCTCCTCGATCGTTCCAGACGTTCTGCTGTTGAACAATCGGCCGATTAGTCAATATAATAATCAATAGATTAATCAATAATGAAAATTATTGTTAGTTGCAGTAAAATCCGTCTCTTTTCTTCTCCTGTAAAATCACAAAATATTTGTGATGACTAATTATTTGGAGCTGACCCCTCCCATCAGATATGACCACACCTGATTGTCTTCTAGGAAACAACAGTATCTGACAGTTGTTTTCAGGTGTCATGATACAGAATATCGTCTCTACGGCAACACAGGTGTGTCTGTGTGGTTGTCATGGTTACAGTAGTGTTGAGTGAAGGTGAGCTGACTGTTTTCTACTCGGCAGGTTCAGATGCTGCTGGAGGCTCAGGTGAAGCTTCAGTCCTCCAGTCAGACCCCCAGGAGCATGGCCAGCATCGCTGTGGGGACAGGTGTGTGTGTGTGTGTGTGTGTGTGTCTGTGTGTGTGTGTGTGTGTGTGTGTGTGTGTGTGTGTGTGTGTGTGTCAGGTGTCACCAGGTAAAAGGTGAAATGCCACATCTTAATGTTTTTAACGTCATACCTTTTTTCAGGTGCCAGTCTGTTCTGGGGGGAACCTGTCCAGACCCTTCCTCATCAGGAAGTACAAGCCCCTCCCCCCTCATCCAAACTTCCCTCTTCCAACTCCCCCAGCCCCCCCCCCTCCCTCAAACACTCCTCCTCACATGACTTGTCTGTCATCAGGCCTGTGGGCGGGGCTGAGAACGGTGACATCACACAACAGGTGGCTCCCTGCTCCCCTTCTGGTCAGCACAGGTGAGATGACAGTTTATTGATCCTCAGGGACTGATCAGGTGTGGTCTTCGTTCAGCTGAGTCTGAACCAGGACTGGACTCTAACTGAACTCTGACCCTCTTGTCCAGCCTCAGTGGTCTACACAGTCCAGTTCTGGGAGAGAGTGCGAGCATGTACAGACCAGCAGAGGAGCAGCAGAGCTTCTACACCAACCTCATGGTAACAGCTCCTCCTCCTCCTGCACCAGAGAGGATTTTGGGACATGAAGTGTTTCACACTCACAGCTGTGTTCACTCTCTCCCTCAGACTCAGCTGACCAGTCGTCTGCAGGAGTCAGACAGCACACATGAAGTGGATGAGTCCAGGAGGAGGAGTCTGTCTTTGGTTTCTGGCCGCTCCAAGGCCTCCTCCTCCGCCTCCTCCTCATCCTCCTCCTCCACCAGGAGGAAGCAGCAGAGTCCAGGAGGAGACCCTGTGGTCAGTGCCACTCTGAGGCAGCTACAGCAGCTCGGAGTCGACGTAGACGAAGATCTGACAGAGTCTGACAGAACCCGGGTCAGGACTGTGGAGAGCGCCAGGTAAACACCTCACCTGGGGACAGAGAGCTGAGTCTGCAGCAAGGGCGGGGCGTTAAAACGTCTCACAGTGTCTTAAATTCAGATACGACCCAGTGCTCCTGTTTCACCTCTCTACACATTTAAATCACACGAGTCTGTTACTGTCATCATCGTCTGACCTCTGACCTCTAAACATTTCCATTGGTCCAGATGCATCTAAGGGGTGCTCGTTACACCTTTCCCCAGTGGATCAGTGGTAGAGGAAGTATTCAAGTTTTCTAATTAGGTCTGTCACTTAAGGTTTAATTTCTCCTTAGCTGAGGGAGTCACTTAAGGGTGTTGCACAAAATCTCATAAAAGGTTTCCTTAGTTAAGGCATTTACAGCAGTGAAAGAGATTTTACAGCAGTAAAATTCTACTGTTTCCATGGAGACTGATGATTTGCTGCCATAAGCACTTGTGATGCCCATTATCTCATCCTCCTGTTATTTTGGTGAGAACTTCACCTCAGTGAACTTTGGTCTTTAAGGTCTTTTGTTCAACAATTTGACTGACTAAGTGATTCCTGAAGTTAAAGACTAAGATAAGGAGAAAACCTTAAATATTTAAATGAACATTTTAAGGAAACCTTTAGGAGAAAACTTAAGGGTATTTTGTGCAACTGTTTTTATTTTAAGGAAACCTTAACTCAGACTTCAAGGAAATTCTTAACTTAAGTTGTTTTGTGCAACCGGCTCCAGATCCTTAACTTCAGTAAAAGTACAAATACAACAAAGTAAAAATACTCCATACAAGTGAAAGTAAATATATGTCATATATGATAATAATATATCAGTCAGAGATCAAACTAGGACTTTGACCTTGACTTTAACTTACTTTAACTACTGCTCATACGTATGTACTTTTACTTCAGTAGGATCTTTCGCAGAGGACTTTCACTCTTATGAAGTATTTGTACTAAAGTATCCGATTACTTCCTCCACCGCTGGCCTCTCGTTTACATTAGACTCTCATATGTTGCACTGATCTTCTGCTGGTCGTTTGTCCTGCTGCAGTTTTACATGAAGTTTATGAGAGTGAGTTCAAACTGTTGTCAGGACCTGAACCACCTGAGACCACTCCCCTAACTCGGTTTACACCTGTTCAGACTGAGAGCTGCTGACACATTTTAAAATGGTGTGTGAAGCTTCAGATTCTGTCAGACTCAAAGGTCCACTTACACCTTTCTGGAGCTTTCAACAACATCAGAGAGTCTTTACTCAACATGTTGTGACTGTTGTTTGTGTGTGTGTCGTTCAGCACTCTGGCGAGCATCAACCCGGCTGCCGTCGTGTCCAGACTGAGCGTGTCTGATCCGACCGCCAGCGCTCTGTTCACAGGAGGCAGCGTGGATCTGAGCCTGGAGGCCAACGCCATCGCCCTGCGTTACCTGAGCGACTCTCAGCTCAGCAGGTTGTCTCTGGGAGGCCATGCCCCCCGCCCCGAGCCCGCCTCCTCCGGTGACTCCCTGCTGTCGCCTAGCAACATGTCTCTGGCCACCAGGAAGTATATGAGGAGGTATGGCCTGATCGAGGAGGAGGACGGTGAGGAGGAAGAGGAGGAGGAGCAGGAGCAGGGGAAGGTCGGAGGTCAGGAGGCTTATACTCGTCAGCCGCTGACAGAAGCTCTGAACGTGAAGCTCCTCCCACAGAGTCAGCTGATCAGAGACCTGCGGCCAAAGATGCAGGTGTTAACGGGAAACACCAAACCGAGCGCCGCTGCCAAGGAGAACTGTTCCAGCAGGCGGCCATCTTTAGTGAGGGCAAGCAGCCGCCAGACGGAGGGGTCAGTGGGAAACATCCTGGACCTGAGCCGCCTGAGACAGCTGCCCAAACTCTTCTGACTCCACAACACCAGCTGACTTTAAAACAGTCAGACTGTAAATGGAGTCTGGATCAGCTCCTGGAACATTTTAAAACTGTCATATTTTAAATGGAGTCTTGTGTGTCTGCAGCACTTCTGGTCTGGAATCAGTCTGCTGGTCTGACTCGGGTTCTGGTTTTCATCTGCCATCTTTGGTCAGTTGGAGGGTTTGGTGTGAAACATCTGTCCAGCTGCTGTCAGCTGGAACCAGAACCTGAAAACCAGACCAGATGGAGGACCAGTATGAAGTATTGTAACGTGTATTGTGGTCTGTCATGGTCAGACTGGTTTTACTGGAAGCCTGTTGCCTTTAGTTCTTTTGCTGTCAGTCCTTTTATCACAGGTGTGTGTGTGTTTTACATTTTGTCTCTTATTGTGAAATGTCTCTTTTACAGATTTTTAATATTAATGATTCCACTAATAAATTTCTGATTCTTTTAGCAACTGAATTCATGTTTATATCAAACGGTTAAAGTCTTTAAGGAAAAGGTGGTTGACAGATGTGAAGAGTGAAACTAGACCTTGTTCTACAGTGTCTCAGGTCATGAGTTTAAATTCATTTATTGATTGTCGTTAATTTATTGATTGATTGATCACACGCATAAACCTGGACTAGGATTTTAAATGTAGGACTTGACCTGAGTGACGTAGCACCTCCACCTTTACGTCAGCTGAGCAGACCCACTCGTAGAACTGTGCCTCCGCCACACTGTCATTAAATATGAACCATGTGTGAAGTCTTGAATAATGGATAAATGGTGTTTTCTGAGGTCACCATGAACTTTGACCTTTGACCACCAAAATCTAATCAGTTCATCCTTGAGTCCAGGTGAATGTTTTTGCCAAATTTGAAGAAGTTCTCTCAAGGTGTTACTGAGATATCGTGTCCACGAGAATGAGACGGACGGACGACCTGAAAACAAAATGGCTGCCGCCGGGCAGAGAGATGAAGGCTACTCCATCTCTACTGGAGGCTAAAACCTTTGATGCAGGAATAGACACAATGATGAGGTCATTCAGGAAGTGTTCAGACCCCTCAACACAAACATGGTGGACAGAACATCAGAGCCACTGAGACAAACAACTGAACATGTTGAACTGGAACCTCAGGTTCTTAAAGAACCCTGAAGTTTGTTCCTGTTGTGAGCTGATGATTCCTGCCCCCTGCTGGTCAGACCTCGGTCCTGACGGTTATTGATCAGTGATCAGAGAGTGAGTTTGGTGGTGTTTGTGTCCAGATGTTTCCTGGTATGAGACTGTTGACTGACAGATCAATGTCTCAAAGGTTGACTGAAGCCTCTGCTCTTTAGGACACTGACCCGAGTTCAGCTCAACACACAGACCTGACTGTCTGAACACACACCACTGTCTACCTGCTCAGGTAAGATTCATACTTTAATTCATCCAGGAAGCTTCACACATGGTTTATCTGTCAGGTTATTACAGATGTCGAGTCTGTTCTGTCTGTTCTCTTGGTTCTGTCGTAGGTTTTGGAGACACAGTTCTCTCCTGCAGGAACCTTTTCATTCTTTTTTCCAACTTAGATATTTTGTTTTTTTCTGCTCAAATGTTTTTGTTCATATTTTTCTTCTTTCATGTTAAAATATTGTTTTGAAATCATCACATGTAAACAAGTTTAAATCTGTTACACTACACACTAGATATCTGAAACCTAAGAATAAAAGTTAGCTTCTTTGGTTCATTGGAGACAAACAAGTTTGTCTGTTTATGTTTAACAAAGATCTGATTTATTCAGACTTTAATCTCAGTGCTGCTGCTTTTATCTGTTCGACTCTGGTGTTGATGTTGAAACGTCAGTTTCAATACAAATAATTGATTTGTCCATTAAGAGAAACGCAAGAACAAAATTAATTTACACATGAAACAATCTAAAAATACAAATATGTAAAAAAGAGTTGAAATAATCAACAAGTAACCAACAAGTAACAACAAGTAACAACAAGAAGTAACAACAACAACAACTCAAACACAAGAGAAAAATCTGCTGAATTTTATTTTAGCAAAAATAGTTGAATCTAAATCCTAGTTTTCATTTCAGGTTTTGTTCAGTTAAAACTCAGTTTTGTGTTTGTGTGTGTAGGTGTGTGTGTTTGTGTTGTGTGTGTAGGTGTGTGTGTTTGTGTTGTGTGTGTAGGTGTGTATGTGTGCAGATGTTTGTGTGTGTGTGATTTTCACCTGTTTGACCTGCTCAGAAACAAGAAGTGGAAATAAGAAACTCTGTGTGTCTGATGATGATGGTGATGAAGGTCTCCTTTATAAATGTGTCTCCAGGATGAGGGCTGCTGATTGGCTGTTGGTTCTGGCGGTCCTGCCACTCGTCTCTCTTGCCGTCCATCCGGACATCTGCAGCGCCAAACCCCGAGACCTTCCTCTGGAGCCGCGCTGCATCTACCGCAGCCCCGACTCCGACCCCGAGGGCCCGACCCCAGAGCCCGAGCCGGTCCCTGAGTCCACCAACCCCAGAGTGTGGGAGCTGTCCAAGGCCAACGGCCGCTTCGCCCTGTCGCTGTACAAACAGCTGGCGCTCAGCAAGACGCCAGAGTCCAACATCTTCCTGTCCCCCATCAGCGTCTCCACAGCCTTCGCCATGACCAAACTGGGAGCTTGCAACCAGACGCTGCAGCAGATCATGAAGGTTAGAGACCAGAACCACTGAGACCCAGAGACCACCACACGAACTGAGACCACAACATGAACCTCTCACTGAGTCTGATTAGGGTTCATCTTGAATCATCTGTTCCAGCTGTTAGCAGCTGTGTAACCTTCACCTATGCCTCCACCTGTGTCTCACCTGTGTCTCTGTCTCTACAGGTGTTTGAGTTCGACAGCATCAAAGAGAAGACCTCAGACCAGGTCCACTTCTTCTTTGCCAAACTCAACTGTCGTCTCTACAGGAAGAAGGACGAGACCACGGAGCTGGTCTCTGCCAACCGCCTGTTTGGGGACAAGTCCCTGGTCTTCAACGAGACCTACCAGAACATCAGTGAGACGGTCTACGGGGCCAAGCTGCTGCCGCTCAACTTCAAGGTAACGTCTTGTCCAGCTCGCCTCGTCAGGTCTCAGTTTCTCTGCTGACCCTGGATCTGTCCCACAGGAGAACCCAGAGAAGGCCCGGACCACCATCAACAACTGGATTTCCAACAAGACTGAGAACCGGATCCAGGACACACTGCCACCGGGGACGCTGGACTCCACCACCGTCCTGGTCCTTGTCAACACCATCTACTTCAAGGTAGGAGAGACTGAAGTCCACAAACCTTCTGAGATCATACTGTGATGTTCAGGGTCTGATGGTTTGTCTGCTGATCCAGTCACTGCTCATCAAGACAAAGTTCTGTGGTCTCAGCTGTCCTCAGAACAGGGCTCAGGTTCAGGGAATTCAACAGATGTAATAAAACGAAGGTCGTGGGCAGCCCGACAGTCAAAGTGTAAAATAATTACAATTATAAAAAGTAGATGTTCTTCTCAGCGTCCCTGTCGCCTCTCAGGGTCAGTGGAAGAACAAGTTCGACAAAGACAACGTCTTTGTCTCAGACTTCCACGTCAGCGAGAGTCGCCGCTGCCCCGTCAACATGATGTACCAGGAGACGAGGTTCAGGTACAGGAGCTTCCCCCAAGACCAGGTGCAGATCCTGGAGATGCCATACAGCGGAGACGACATCACCATGGTGCTGATCCTGCCGAGAAGAGGCACGCCGCTCAGTCAGGTAGTCCTGGTCTTTTCTTCCAGTCCAGCCTTAATCTATGAGAAAGTTTCCAGTTTCTTTAATGTTTATTTTCTCTCCTTCATGTTTCTTATTTTATCAAACTTTACTGTGTATGTTTCTTCAACTGAGAAGATCTTTATCTTTTATCTATCTGTTGTAGAGCTGAAGCTCATTAGTACCTGCTTCAAGACAACTACTCAGATTTCTGATCTTCTGGTTTTGTGTATATATATATATATATATATATATATACACATATATATTTCAATATCTGTACTTTTTATTATTTTTGTAAACTTCTGACTTTGACTCGTCTACACTTAAAGACAAATAATGTACGTTTCTATTAAGGAGTTTCCTGGTGGGAGCAGGTATGAAGAGCTGTGTCCTGATACAGGAGGAAGAACCTGGTGCTGTAAATCAGTGGTTCTCAAAGTGGGGTCCAGGGACCCCCATGGGTCTGTGAGGAGGTTCCCGGGGGTCCCCAGCAAAAATGGGAATCATTTATTTTCACAATCAAGTAACACAGTGACAGAATGTGTGAATGTTTTTTTTCATGGATTTAAACACTTTCTGTAATAAAACATCTGAACTCTGATCAGGTGGAGGTCTGAGGTCTGATCGGTGTCAGGTTAGGGTTTGAGAACCTCTGATCTAAATGACAGTGAGTCTCACTGTGAACAGAACCACAGGACTGCAGGACCTGTGATGCTCAGGTGTACACTTCATGGATTTGTGCTGTGATGTTGTCGTCTGTGTGTCGAGGTGGAGGCGAGTCTGGACCTGAACAAACTGAACAACTGGCTGAGTCAGATGAAGGAGACGACCGCCTCCGTCCACGTCCCTCGGTTCAGGGTGGAGGACAGTTTCAGTCTGAAGGAGAAGCTTCAGGCCATGGGACTGACTGACCTGTTCAGCCCAGACAAGGCCAGCCTGCCAGGTGAGCTACCTGAATCACATCCACTTCAGTCCTTAACCTCAGTCCAGAATACAGATCAAACAGTTCAAATTTGGATTGAGTCAGTGCAGGGTGGGAGTACAGGTAGAGCTCACAGGTAGAGATCTCAGGTAACTCCACAGGTCTCTGCTGTAGATGTTTATCTTTAATCAGTGGAAGTTTAATGATCTGAAACAGGTTTCACAGGAAGTTTTGATCCAGCTGCAGTCACTTCCTGTTTAACCTGTCACTCACCTGTCTGTCTGTTTGTTTGTTTCAGGGATGTTGGAGGACGGCAGTGATGGTCTCTTCATCTCAGATGCCTACCATAAAGCCTTCCTGGAGGTAAGTAAGACCAGGGTCCTGATAAACCTGTTTCCTGGTCCAGAGTCAGTTCAGACCGTAGACCAGGGTCCCGATAAACCTGTTTCCTGGTTGTCAGGTGAACGAGGAGGGCAGCGAGGCGGCAGCAGCCACTGTCGTCGTGGCGATCGGACGCTCCATCAACTTGAACCGGGAGATGTTTGTGGCTGACCGACCGTTCCTGCTGCTCATCAGAGAATCCACCATCAACACGCTGCTGTTCATTGGCCGAGTGTCCGACCCCTGCAGCCAATGAGGACTGAGCTGCTGCTTTGATACAAGAATCGACATGTGACAAACTAAATCATCATACCAGTGTAACTGAGATATTTAAGAACTGAAGTATTGATATGGTGTTAATGACACATGATGACATGGTGAAGGCTTTAGTTCATCAGTTCATCATGTTGCCTTCACTGTCCATGAAGTGTAATTGTTCTTTTGTACAGTTGTGGTCACAGACTCTCTTCACCTTCCTGCACTCGAGTCTGAGTCAAACCTCAATAAACACAGTAAAAGATGAATCTGACTGATAGTATCATTACTATTATTAATATTATTATTAATTTACTATAAATACAATATCGTTAAATTATAGAACTCTGACATCATGACCGTGATTCTGTTTAACAACCAGCAAATACTGTAATGAACATGATGAACAGACCAGGAACACTTTGTGTTGATGTTGGCACAATGTCAGCCTGATGTCGGTGAGTGATGTTGGCGTGATTCAGATGTCGCAGCTGATTCAATATATGGTTCTATTTCTTTAATCATGATTTCTGTTTGTGTGTGCCCTGTTTTAATCATCTCCTTGTTCCAGGTGAGGTGAAGGTCTCAGGTGGTCTCTTGAGGTCTCTTGTGGTCTCAGGAGTTCTCATGTGGTCTCAGGAGTCATCAGGAGGTCTCAGGTGGTCTCAGGTGATCTCAGGAGGTCTCAGGAGTTCTCAGGTGGTCTCAGGAGGTCTTAAGTGATCTCAGGAGTCATCAGGAGTTCTCAGGAGTTCTCAGGTGGTCTCAGGTGGTCTCAGGTGGTCTCAGGAGTTCTCAGGAGGTCTCAGATGGTCTCAGGAGGTCTCAGGAGGTCTCAGGTGTTCTCAGGAGGTCTCAGGTGTTCTCAGGAGGTCTCATGTGGTCTCAGGAGTTCTCATGTGGTCTCAGGAGTCATCAGGAGGTCTCAGGTGGTCTCAGGTGATCTCAGGAGGTCTCAGGAGTTCTCAGGTGGTCTCAGGAGGTCTTAAGTGATCTCAGGAGTCATCAGGAGTCATCAGGAGTCATCAGGAGTCATCAGGAGTCATCAGGAGTTCTCAGGAGGTCTCAGGAGTTCTCAGGTGGTTTTAGGTGATCTCAGGCGGTCTCAGGAGGTCTCAGGTGGTCTCAGGAGGTCTCAGGAGTTCTCATGTGGTCTCAGGAGTCATCAGGAGTTCTCAGGTGATCTCAGGAGTCATCAGGAGGTCTCAGGAGGTCTCAGGTGGTCTCAGGTGGTCTCAGGAGGTCTCAGGAGTGATCAGGTGATCTCAGGAGTTCTCAGGTGGTTTTAGGTGATCTCAGGTGGTCTCAGGAGTTCTCGTGTGGTCTCAGGAGTTCTCATGTGGTCTCAGGTGGTCTCAGGAGGTCTCAGGTGGTCTCAGGTGGTCTCAGGAGGTCTCATGTGGTCTCAGGAGTTCTTCTCAGGTGGTCTCAGGAGTTCTCAGGTGGTCTCAGGTGGTCTCAGGAGTTCTCATGTGGTCTCAGGAGGTCTCATGTGGTCTCAGGAGTCATCAGGAGTTCTCAGGTGGTTTTAGGTGATCTCAGGAGGTCTCAGGAGGTCTCAGGTGGTCTCAGGTGGTCTCAGGAGGTCTCAGGAGTTCTCATGTGGTCTCAGGAGTCATCAGGAGTTCTCAGGTGATCTCAGGAGTCATCAGGTGGTCTCAGGTGGTCTCAGGTGGTCTCAGGAGGTCTCAGGTGGTCTCAGGAGGTCTCAGGTGGTCTCAGGAGGTCTCAGGTGGTCTCAGGAGTTCTCATGTGGTCTCAGGAGATCTCAGGTGGTCTCAGGAGTCATCAGGAGATCTCAGGAGGTCTCAGGTGGTCTCAGGAGTTCTCATGTGGTCTCAGGAGTTCTCATGTGGTCTCAGGAGTCATCAGGAGTTCTCAGGTGATCTCAGGAGTCCTCAGGTGGTCTCAGGTGGTCTCAGGAGGTCTCTGTGGGTAAAGAACGAGGCGAGCGGCTGCGGTTCGACACTGAAAGTGCTTTATTTCCTCTGAAGGAGATGCGACCTGTGAGTGATCTAGTGGTCATAGTGAAAGAAGCTTCTTCACATTTTTCTAAACTATAATCAACCTTTGGCCTCACCCCTCCCCCAACCTTGAGACCCACCTGAGACCACCTGAGACCACCTGGGTTGGAGGAAACTGAGACCACCTGAGACCTCCTGAGACCACTGGGACCACTGAGACCTCCTGAGACCACATGAGAACTCCTGAGACCACATGAGACCACATGAGAACTCCTGAGACCACATGAGACCACCTGAGACCTCCTGAGACCACATGAGAACTCCTGAGACCACATGAGACCACATGAGAACTCCTGAGACCACATGAGACCACCTGGGACCACCTGAGACCTCCTGAGACCACATGAGAACTCCTGAGACCACATGAGACCACCTGGACCACCTAGACCTCCTGGAGACCACATGAGAACTCCTGAGACCACATGAGGACCACATGAGAACTCCTGAGACCACACTGAGACCATATGGACCACACTGAGACCTCTGAGACCACATGAGAACTCCTGAGACACATGAGAACTCCTGAGACCACCTGAGACTCCTGAGACCTCCTTGATGACTCCTGAGACCACATGAGAACTCCTGAGACCACCTGAGAACTCCTGAGACCTCCTGAGACCACCTGAGATCACCTAAAACAACCTGAGAACTCCTGATGACTCCTGAGATCACCTAGAAACTCTGATGACTCCTGAGACCCACCTGAACCACCTGAGACCTCCTGAGACCACCTGAGACCACCTGAGACCTCTGAGACCTCCTGAGACCTCCTGAGACCACCTGAGACCACCTGATGACTTCCTGAGATCACCTGAGAACTCCTGATGACTCCTGAGACCACATGAGAACTCCTGAGACCACATGAGAACTCCTGAGACCACCTGAGACCTGAGATCTTTCCTGATGACTCCTGAGACCACCTGAGATCTCCTGAGACCACATGAGAACTCCTGAGACCACCTTGAGACCTCCTGAACCACCTGAAGACTACTGAGACCACCTGAGACCTCCTGAGACCACCTGAGACCACCTGAGACCACCTGATGACTCCTGAGATCACCTGCGAGAACTCCTGAGACCACCTGAGAACTCCTGAGACCACATGAAAACTCCTGAGACCACATGAGACCTCCTGAGACCACCTGAGACCACCTGAGACCTCCTGAGACCACCTGAGACACATGAGAACTCCTGAGACCACACGAGAACTCCTGAGACCACCTAGAATCACCTAAAACCACCTCAGAACTCCTGAGATCACCTGATCACTCCTGAGACCTCCTGAGACCACCTGAGACCACCTGAGACCTCCTGAGACCTCTGAGACCACCTGAGAAACTCCTGAGACCACATGAGAACTCCTGAGACCACACGAGAACTCCTGAGACCTCCTGAGACCTCCTGAGACCAACCTAAAACACCCTGAGAACTCCTGATGACTCCTGAGACCACATGAGAACTCCTGAGACACATGAGACCTCCTGAGAACACCTGAGACCTCCTAGAAACACCTGAGACCTCCTGAGACCTCCTGAGACCATCTGAGACCTTCCTGAGAACTCCTGAGACCACCTGAGGACCACGAGACCACCTGAGAATCCTGAGAAAACCCCTTTTGATGACTCCTGAGATCAACATTAAGACCTCCTGAGACGCACCTGAGAACTCCTGAGACCTCCTGAGATCACCTGAGACCCACTGAGACCCCTGATGACTCCTGAGACCACAAAGAGACCTTCAAGGAGACCACCTGAGACCCTTCACCTCAACCGGAACAAGGAGATTGAATAAAACAGGGCCACATCACAACAGAAATCTGATTAAAGAAATAGAACCATATAATTGAATACAGTGCACATTGAATCACGCCAACATCCTCACCGACATCAGGCTGAACATTGCTGCAAACATCAAACACAAAGTGTGTCTGGTCTGTTCATCATGTTCATTACAGTATTTGCTGTTGTTAACACAGAATCACGGTCATAGATGTTCAGCCATCTAGTAATTTTAACGATATTGTATTTATAGTAAATATAATAATATTAATAATAGTAATGATTACTATCAGTCAGATTCATCTTTTTACTGTGTTTATTGAGGTTTGATCAGACTCGAGTGCAGGAAGGTGAAGAGAGTCGTGACCACAACTGTACAAAGAACAATTACACTTCATGACAGTGAAGGCAACATTGATGAAACTGATGAACATAAAGCCTTCACCAATGTTCATCATGTGTCATTAAACACATAATCAATTACTTCCAGTTCTTAAATATTCAGTTACACTGGTATGATGATTTAGTTTGTCCTATGTCGATTCTTGTATCAAAGCAGCAGCCTCAGTCCTCATTGGCTGCAGGGGTCGACACTCGCAAATGAACAGTCAGCGTGTTGATGGTGGATTCTCTGATGAAGCAGCAGGAACGGTCCGGTCAGGCCACAAACATCTCCCGCGCTTCAAGTTGATGGAGCGTCCGATCGCCACGACGACAGTGGCTTGCTTGCCCGCCTTCGCTGCCCTCCTCGTTCACCTGAACAACCAGGAACAGGTTTATCGGAACCCTGGTCTGACGTTCTAACTGCTCTGGTTACCAGGAAACAGGTTTATCAGGACCCTGGTCTTACTTACCTCCGAGAAGGCTTTAATGGTAGGCATCTGAGATGAAAGAGACCATACTGCCGTCCTTCCAACATCCCTGAAACAAAACACAGACAGACAGCGTGAGTGACAGGTTAAACAGGAAGTGAACTGCAGCTGCGATCAAAACTTCCTGTGAAACCGTTTCAGAATCATTAAACTTCCACTGATTAAAGATATAAACATCTCAGCAGAGACCTGTGGAGTGGGTACCTGAGATCTCTACCTGTGAGCTCTACCTGTACTCCACCCTGCACTGACTCAATTCCAAATTTGAACTGGTTTGATCTGTGATTCTGGAACTGAGGTTAAGGACTGAAGTGGATTGTGATTCAGGTAGACTCACCTGCAGGCGGCCTTGTCTGGGCTGAACAGGTCAGTCAGTCCCATTGGCCTGAAGCTTCTCCTTCAGACTGGAAACTGTCTCCCACCCTGAACCGAGGGACGTGGACGGAGGCGGTCGGTCCTCCTTCATCTGGACTCAGCCAGTTTGTTTCAGTTTTGTTCAGGTCCAGACTCGCCTCCACCCGACACACAGACGACAACATCACAGCATCAATCTCATGAAGTTACACCTGAGCATGCACAGGTCCTGCAGTCCGTT